TGACGATGATGATGATGGTTTTATTTGTATTAAGATTATTATAATTACTATTAGTTATCATTAGTATTTACATAATTATTGTTGTTGCTTTTATTATTAGTATTTTCCATTATCCTTAAAATAATTTGTATTATTGTTAAGATTATAATAGTTAATATTTTAATATAATTATGATTATTGTTAAGATTAATATACTTAATATTTTAATATAATAATTCCATTATCCTTTAAATCATTTTTATTATTGTTAAGAGTATTATAATTAATATTTTAATATAATTATTCCATTATCCTTTAAATAATTATTATTATTGTTAAGATTATTATAATTAATATTAGTTATTATTAGTAGTAGCATTATTATCATCATCATCATCATCATCATCATAAACATTGATATTATTATTGATATTAACTATGTTGGGTTGCATTCTCATTTGAACCAAACAGCTTTAAGATCAAATCATGTTCTCCGATATCTCTGGGACAGGCTTCTCCTTCAGAATGGCGGAAGAACAAACTCTGCGTTTAATCACAACTATATAAATCTTTGTTGATGCGTCTGGTTGTGACCAAACGCAGAGCTGTTTACTTCTTCTTTTCTGAAGATGCCTGTGCTAGTGACATCGAATTCCATGATTTGGTAAGAGGGGTCTGTTGGGTTGAGATAAGGAGAACTCTAACATATGTAGGGTATTAAGCCCTTGTCATTATAGTGTCTATTGTCTCTCATAGCTTTATTTTGTTTATTGTATTAATAATGATAATAATAATAATAATAATAATAATAAGAATAATAATACTCAGTTCTTCTATAGCGCATAACACATTACAGGATAGCATGTCCCTTTGCGTATTAATTAATGTTATTATTATCATTATTATTTCGTGACATTGGTACCACTCCCGTCTGATTGCGTGTGTGTAGAGCAGTCATGGTGTGATTTATCTCCTAGCAATCGATGACGTAGGATACATGGGAGGCGCTCGGTTTGGGAAACTTTCAGCTTCTTTCATTCGTCAGTTATCTTGCACTTGTTCGGTTTGTTAGAGAGAGAGATGACAGTGTGAGTGAGTGTGTGGTGGTGCTTTGTTCCTGACATAGCACCAACACACACTCATACACACTCCTCTTTCTCCTCAACAAGCCGAATTTGTGCATTTTAACCGACGGGTGGTAGAGGCTGATCGTGACTTGGATCGGGCGTTCCTGCGTCATCTTTTGTTTGGGGATACAATCACACTATGGCTTGTCTATAGACATGCAATCAGATGGGAATGGTAGCAGTGTGACAAACCGATCCTTCATCTCAACCTGTTCGCTCATGATGTTATATGTCTTGTAAATATGTTTTTTGTTTGTTATTGTAACTGACTAAAAAGAAAAAACCATGAGAAGCAAGCAGAAAATTGAATAGTCACTGTAACTAAAAAAGATAAAACCACGAGAAGCAAAAGCATAAACAGTGACTGAAACCGTGTCTTGTGTCTTTATTTACCATGTTGATGTTGACGTGCCTGACTGCTGGTGACAAGAACGAGTAAGACATTGAGAGAACGAGAGAGGATGATACCGATTACGATGTAAAACAATAGGAGTGAGAGCGAGAAATGGAAAGAGTGGAAATGCTGATGAGAATAGACCGACATGGTAGAGAAAATGGAGAGTGAGATAGAAAGGCACAGAGAAAAGACTTAACAGATGAATGGTTTAAAAGATATACAGCGAGGGGAAATGATCTTGTGCTGCTAATTAAGTGGCTGGTCCCAACAAACGTATGTTAAAAACAATTGATCATATAGCATATCATAACTTTTCGAATCATTACATGGGCATTCTCTTATTCTACAAAAACGTAATTTGTCAAAATCATACGATAATTTATCCATTTCTATGGCAGGTTTCAGTATCTCAATTTACATTTCGGAGATATTCCCTTAGTTCGGAGGGGGGGGGGGGGCTGTTCTAAAATAACCAGGCCGCGTCTTTTTTTTCCTAACCATGCCATTCTAGCGCAGCATTTTAATATTTGTATATATGAATATTTGCGCTGGTACGGTGTGGTGGAGATCACAAAATAAATCGGCCAGATTCTAGACAAACCAGTTAAGTCGCAATGATTATAGACAAGTTACGACCTGGGTACAGGCACGTAGCCAGAGTTTGATGTTTTTAGGGGGCACGTGCCCCCCCCCCCCCCCCCCCATGGCTACGTGCCTGCCTGGGTAGTCATTCGTTTACGGTAAGCCTCCCGTTTTTCTCGCATTGGCACTTTATTTTAAGTAAACATAGCTTCGCATTTGTAATTTTTGTATGAAATCTCATTATTTGATAATATCGCATCATATTCTGTGTGCGTGCGTAGCATGAACATGTTTGACTAGCGCATGACGTAAGTATTAAGAATGTGTCATGTGTCATTTCATGTGTGCCTGTCTGCAATTATTGTACTGATTAACACCTATGACTATATTTCTGGGAATGATATAACTACTAATAACAATCAGGAACAATATTTCTTAAACCGAGCTTTAACTGCCGATACACAATTACGAACAGAAAGCCTTTTAACTTTTTACAATACCCCTCTACCTTCCACAGATGACTTAAACAAGGGCCTACACTCCAATACATGAAGAATGGTGCGAATAACCTGCATAATTCACAGACAGATTGCGTTTTTTAGGCAACTGCATTTTATCCACAGACGAGGCTGTAATGCAATATGACTTAATTCAGCACTGTCATTTGTTTACCACTCGGAAATTTGAGGTGAACCTACAAGAGAAAGAGGGAGAGAGAGAGAAAGAGAGAGAGAGAGATGGATAGGAGCACAAAAAACACGATCCTTCCGTCCAGGAGCGGATCCAGTATTTCTTAGGGGGGGGGGCCAAATTTATAATTATGCGAGCCAAATATTGGTACGTAATGGTGACCAGCAATGGCGTAATGAGCAAAAATGTTTGGGGTAGGGGCAGAAAAAAAATCCTCATCACCTCACTCTTACATGTAGGCCCCGCTGAACGTTTTTCAAAGTGGGCGGGGGAGGCTAAATTATTTACGATCAGATAGAACGTACCATGAATTGGCGTCGGATCTTGGAGCAAAGCCCCGGCGGGGGTCAAGGGGCGGAGCCCCTGGAAGCTCAGGGGGTAAGGGTATTTAATTACGTTCAGATGAGCATATTTGTATACGTTATTCATGATATCCAGGGGTTTTAGGCAAAAAATTACGGTCAATTGAGCATCAAGGGGCCCGCCTTAGGGCCCTAGGTGGAATCCCGGGGGTAGCGCCCCTGGAAGCCTAGGAGTTTTAGGCATTCAATCACGGTCAGATGATCATATTTTGATACCTCATTATTTTTGTGACACTGACAGGTCATTATGCTTTCTTGCTCTCTTTCTTTCTATGGGAGGCTCTGACATTTAGGCCTCTAAATAAGCATATTTCTTGCCTGACTGTAAATTTAGGAATTTGTCATTTTCCAACGAACGCATAAAAAAGTATAATTTACTAAAAAGTGACGAAAAATCTCGGAAAATTTCAGCAACATCTGTAAATCACTGGACTATCGAATATTATTTGGGGATTCTTTATTCTCTCTTTTTCGTTGACGGGTGCAGAGGGGGGGGGGGGGGGAAGTGCCTTTTGCCCCCCCCCCCCCCCCCGATCCACAACTTGTTGGCGGGAAAATTTCAAGTGATATCCCCCTTCTTTTCTTTTCTTCTTCCTCTTCTTCTTCTTCCTTTGTGTATGGTGTTGGGGGGAGGCAAGGCCCTTTCGGCCCCGATCTCCTTCTTCCTCCTTTTTCTTTTCTTCTTCCTCTTTTTTGTTCCCTTTTAGCTCTCCTCTTTCCCTTTCCCTTCATTCTCTCTAGTTATGTTGGTGCGGGCGGGGCGGGGGCAACGCCCTTTTTGCCCCCCCCCCCCCGAATTTCCTTCATCCCTCTTTCCTTTTCTTCTTCATCTTCTTTCTTTCCAGTTGGCTTTCTCTTCTTTTTCTTCTCTCTCTCCCTTTTTTTGCGGGGGGGGGGGGCAAGGGCCGCTCGCCCTTGATCTGCGGCTGCACTGATTCCGTCTGCACCCAGCCTACCACTTGGCCCAAAAGAATATAACACGCCGTGTTAAAACGATTGATACGTTAATGGATAATCTGGACAAAGCCTTCTGTACAGATCTTCGTAAGAGGCTGAATGGCCTTTAATTTGAAGCTAATTAACAGAAGAGAAGAAGAAGTTAAAACGGATAGAGAAGAGCAGTTATAGCACAAAGATGCACTTGTTTGCTTATTTCTGTTTCTAAAGTAAAAAAAACAGCAGCAGCAACAATAATATATCAGCAACAAACAGTTCGTTATGTGAGTCCACACATATTTTAGTAGGCAGCACTGGAATTGAGAGAGGGACAGGGGCACCGATCCAGGCGCGGATCCAGGATTTCCTAGGGGTGGGGGCCCAAATTTGAAATCATTTTGAAATTTAGTGTGCTGAAATTTCAAAAATCGTGCCGGTCAATATTTCGCTCAGTTGGAGAGGGGGGGGGGGGGGGGGGAATGAGCACTATTTTTTTTCGGAATTGGGTTGATACTACAGTACATGTACATGTGTACCGTATGTAAATTCTAAGTTCATGCAGAAACATTTTTGTTACTTTTTATCAGTAAGATTTTTTTTCCTTTCATTTGTCAATTGGTTGTTTAATGATCATGAGACTCCATGATGTGCTTCTATACTGTAATGACTATATATTTGGCCCCTCATTGCATGTAAGTTACAGCCAAATGTGTTTATACTCATATCTCACAAAGGAAACAACATCTGTATGCAATCTGTTCAGAAAGTAACGTTAAACAGTTACGGTTCAGAAAATAATAGATATGTGGATTTAGAGAACACCTTGAGACTTGAGTATATTTGAATGTAATGGAGATGTATCTGTTTCATGTTCCAGGCTGAACCACTGCGTGTGCTTGTAACCGGTGCTGCAGGACAGATAGCCTATTCTCTCCTCTACTCCATTGGCAAGGGAGATGTCTTCGGACCCAAACAGGTAGGCCTAGCTTCCTCCAGCCTGAAAAATAAAGTAAAACCAAGATGTTGATTTGTGATACATAGTGAAGGGAACGTTTTATGTATTAAAGTATTGTGTGCCACAATGTCAGGTTAAAAAGTAATCCCATATTGATAACACTACTATCAGGATTGGGAACTCAAAAGGACCCTCTAAAATTTACAGTGACCCCTAAATTGAAGTTTTCCTTTATAGTTTATACCCTTAATCTAGTAATCTTGAAAATTAATGTAAATCCAGGCTGCTGCCATTGAGAACATTATGTGATACATTCAAGGTAAGCGCATATTCAGAGGATAACATCTTACACTTATACAACTCAATTTCTATTTTAAGTTGTTTGACAAAAAAGCTGTCACAAACTCCTTAACATTTAGATACACGCGTGATAAACAAACATTGCTTTCTGTAACATGCCCCTTCTTGATATGCATATGATTTTATTGAATAGGAAAAAGAAAATTCAGAAATTCATTGGGTTTTTATTGTTGATTCTATCTGTGTTTTGACTTGCACTTTACAATTGATCAAAATCAACTAAGCTAAGCATAATGATACATGTTAGTAAACTGTGCTGCTGTTTTTGTGTTGACAGTCTTTGGTCCTAATCCTGTTGGATATCGCTCCAATGATGGGAGTCTTAGAGGGTGTTGTCATGGAGCTCCAAAATTGCTCTCTTCCTCTTGTCAGCAGTAAGTTCCATCAGTGCTTATTAATTATGACTTGCTTTATGATTTGACTATAATTTGTATTGAAAGAATTTGCAATAGCTTCTTATGTGAACATTCAAACATGTAAAATCTTAATGACCAATTTTTAATAAGATCTCAATTTTAAGGTATTTCACACTTCTTTGAAGAAAAATAGCTACCGGTAAATGAGCTCAGTCTTTGTAGTGTCCTCAGACCAGTAGATCAATTGTCTACAATTTTGAAGCCAACTTGTTTTTTATTCTGTCTAGAAGAGTTCAAGATAAAAGTTGAGTTCTGGTTATTCGATAGCATTGTGAAAGAAATGGTAGAGGCGATTGAAAAAGTGTTATCGCCGGCACCTAAGTATTGGTGTGCTTGCATATGTGTTGTTTTTGTCTCCCCTGCGTAGCAAAAAGCGAGACATAGGCGCCGCTTTTCCTGTGACGGCGATGGCGGCGACGGCGGCGTCAACATCAAAAACTTAACCTTAGGTTAAGTTTTTGAATTTTTAATATAATTTTGAAAGTATAAGTTTTTATTCAATGAAAATTGGACTATAGGGGTATCAAGTATCCCCAATTATTTAATAAGAATTTCAGGTCGCAAATTCAAGGTCAAAGGTCATTTCAGGTCAACAAACTTAGACTATGTTGTGGCATCATTATCAAAAACTTTACCTGAGGTTAAGTTTTTGAATTTTTAATATAATTTTGAAAATGTAAGTTCTTATACAATGAAACTTGGACTATAGGGTAATCAAGTATCCCCAATCATGTGAGTAGAATTTCAGGTCACTAAGTCAAGGTCAAATGTAATTTCAGGTCTGCAAACTTTGACTTTGATGTGGCATCAACATCAAGATTTTGAAATTTAAGCATAATTTCAAAAGTGTTTGAATGTTCAAATTCCATGAAACTTGTACCCAAGGGTTATCAAGTATCATAAATCACATGACACCAATTCTAGATCACAAAGTCAAAGTCTAAGGTCACTTTAGATCAGTAGACTTGGATTTAAATCAATTTTTGTTATTTATTCATCCATGTATTTCATGAAAGTTATTTATCTTGGTAGAAATAATAGTAAATAATTTGTCTGTTGATTCTTCGTAAATATTCACTTCAAAAAGCTGATTATGTAGAGGATTTCAATTTTGGGGGCCTGCTGATGGGCCACCCTGCCTATAAATTATGTCCCAACCTCTGGCGAGAGATCTGACCTTAGATCTTTAATTTTCACAATGCAAGGTGCTTGTGTTGCCCGGAGCGGTGTGCTACCTACCTGGTGACTCACTGTTAGTAGGTCATGGGCTAGACTTTTTCAAAGGTGTGATAAATATTTGATCACTTGAAGGACTTTGTTAAACCCAGGGAAGTACCTGGTCCAATCCAATAGTGAACGCATCAGTTATATATAAAGATCTTGTAGGTGTCATAATTGTGATCCAAATTGAGCTTAATACTTCCCATTTAACTTAATTAGTTCGGATAACTCCCTATTATACCCAGTTTCTGTGTCCGTCACTATTTGTAGCTGCTTGCGCCCTCTATATAGCAATAATGCAATGCCCGTTGGTCCCTCATGATCCCCTTTTTGTTTTTGTTAATTGAGAGCTGATTTGACGAGATAACTATTGTGTTCTTATAAAAGACCAGTTAGAGAGCTTTGATTGAACTTGATTGAATAAGTTGTAAAGCTTTATTGAGGCTCTGTCAGTCAGACATCTTTGTAGTCATGAACTCATTGTTTCATAACATGACCTAGTCTAGTTCTGGACCCTATATCGATTTTTGTCATTCGCCGACTATAAACGTTAAGCCGAGTGATGGCGCGATCCTTAGATTGCGTTATCCCAACGAACTCAAACTTGGATTTCGATGCGTTATCGCGCGATGAGTGAGGATAACGCAATATAAGGATCGCGCCATCACTCGGCTTAAAGATAAACTTGAGTTCTGGTAAAAAAAAAATAAAATGAATTCTCACAGAATCTAACGAAACTTACACTGAATGTTCAAGATTACAAATAAATGTCATGTGCCAAACAATTTTGGAAGAAAATGTATACTGGCTGAACTAGACTAAACTAGAACTAGAACTAGACTAAACATGACCTGGCATGAGTCATGGGTTGCACGTCGTTCTATATTTAATTATACATGCTAGTCTGTATTTGCAGACTCTGTTAAACTACATGTAGCTATCACTACACATCCCTTCTTTAAAAGAGGTTTACACATATACATATATAAAACTTCTTAAACTCTACAGAGTGACAGGGTGGACTACCTGTACACTCGCGACTGTACCAGAGCATTATTCTGTCCCTTAAAGATGGAGTACTGTCGCTTTCAAGTATCACTTATTACGCGACAGTCCATATTTTTGCAGGTTGCGATTCGCTATACTGTAATTCTCCGTTGAGGTTGGGTGATAAATGTTGATTTTTGTAATCAAAGTGACTGATTAAAACCGGTTATATTGATAAACTATAACATGCCAATATATATGTCATGCTCATGCAATCCTGCAGTTATGTGTTAAAGTCCAAGTTGAACTCTGTAAATATAACCTATTTACAAAACGCGAAAGTCTTTCTCTGTGGTTCGCTTTCATTTATTTACAAGTTCAAGCGATCTGGCGGTTTAACAACTCGTCCGCTTCTGGTTCTGGTTATTGGCATAGTTGAGCTTTCTTACACTTCTCGATGCCTAAGTGTCCTTCATGGATTTTGTTTATCATGAACCTTCTCATATTAGTGGGAACCACTAGTTTGCTGCCTTTGAAGATAATACCATCTGCTTCAGAGAGTTCACTCCTGATGTTCCAGTATTCCCTGACTCGAACTAGACATTGCTGCTTCGTTGATTTCTCGAAAGGCTTTGTGATCATGTTTCAGTAACAACTAATTTATTACTAAGTTTTGTAACGTGAATAACTGATTAAAGCATACATCGTAAAGCACATATTATAATAATTCAAGCGAGCAAGCATAAAAAAGACACCTACAATAATAGCATGCTAAAAATAACTTGTTGTAATTAAAACTAGATAAGATACGAAATATAATGTATGCAGGCATCCCTCCACCAAATATACATGGATATTCGGGCATCTCATTGCCCGGAATAATTCCTTTTCTACATGTTGCGAGCGAGTGAAGCGATATAAAGGATATAAAATAGTATTCGGGCACGTCGGGCATGTTTGTAAATAATGCGAGCAAGTGAAGCGAGCGAGGGAGAAATAAAATTGTTATCTTATAATGCTATTCCCTCACCAAATAACATATTTAAGCTGTTTCTAATACTTTTTAATTCACGAAATCGACGTTATTCCAAAATATTTTTTGATGCAACTAAATTTCTCTCGCGGCACCCCTAGTATAGATATTTTGCGGCACCCCGGTTGAAAAACGCTGATCTAATGTACTCAGCTTAACTCCAATCACTGAAGGAGCATTGGCATTTTGGGTGGGGGCGCTTTCAAGAGAGAATAAAATACAAATATACAAGGACAGCAGTATTGGGGGGAGCCTGGGAGGGAGCACTTTTATCTATTTCTCACATTCCCTTCCCTTCGCCTTTTTTTCCCACTACCTTTATTTTTAAACTATTGTTCTACTTCATTACTATTTTTAAAGTCTTGTGATTCCTATGGCTTTGGTGCTTGTACTCAATGACGTTGTACAGCCTTGAGAGTGTAGCTGCTTTTCTTCGACAGGAGCGAAGTGTTTCCGACATCTGGTGGGATCTGAAGAAAAAAACCCACACAAATGGCATTTCAAGTGGAAAAAATATCAGGGCTAGTTTGCAGGCACAGTGTCGTTGTGAGTAACGATGTCTGCCCTGTTAGACATATCCAGGAATTGTAGTGAAGTGTCAAATTATAATCTGTGCTTATAGACTACACCAGGGCGAGGGCGAACACAGAAAGCCGATTTTCTTAGGCCCTAAAGAGGGCGACAAGCATCATTCACAACATCCATCCGGGTCTCTGGCACATGTGCAGCTCAAACAAATTGATGGCAATAAGCCAGTTTTTAAATAGCTTTGGAACGCATGACTCCAAAATATTCACAGATCTTTTACACGATGGATACGTCCCACCTGTGCATATTATAATAATCACTGCCGAAATGATGGATGGGCTTCATGAATACCTTTTGTTTGCCTCTTGAGAAGATGACTTCCAGTTGTGTATCAGACAAATGTAGTGTCGGTGCATAAATGAATACTGATTACATAACTTCCATGAGCACGATATCAGTAATTCGTATCGATGAGTTTTTACAATTTGGGAACAAATTACCTTTATCTGCCCATGCGCAGATAGTATTTACGAACTGGCACATCAAGGTACCTTACACCTGAACAAACAATTTAAGAGGCACATATTGTGTATTTAAGCTTTGTATTTAGGGTATTTATGGTATTGAAGAGGGAATATACCAGATGTGCTCTGGCCAAACCTCCCAAAGTGATAATCTATCTATGATTCAAAACATAATCCACCTTGGTTAAAGGCGAAATCTCGAAGCGGACTACTTGCAAGGATCGGACTAGCGCCATCTTGGCTTCCATAAGAGCGAACCTCATACCGATACAGATACGTGGTCCCGCACCGAAAGGCAACCAGGTGAACGGGTTACAACCCTCGCGATTCGCCTTCGTGAATCTGGGCAGGGGTCGGGAGGGATGGAGGCAAGGAGGGAGGGGAGAGAGGGAGAGGAGAGGGAAGAAGGGGGAGGAGGGAGGGGGAAGGGAGGGGGAGAGGAGGGTTGGGGAAGGGAGGGGAATGGGAAAGTGGTTGGGGAGGTGGGGGAGAGGAAAGGGGGAATGGGAGAGTAATTATGGACAGAGAGAGAGATATTGCATGAGAAAAGTATCAAAGAGTAATGTAGAGTGAGGGTTTATAAAATGGAAAGTAAAGAAAAAAAAGATGGACATACATATTTATAGAAAGAGAGAGTTCCAAAAAAAATACAAGTTTAGAACTTCGATTAAATTTTACTGTGAATTACTAGCATCAATGACTAAAATGCATTTTTTTCAGGATTTATGAATGTGGTTCCTTTTTCTTTACAGAAAAGTTATTATAATGAGCTGTCCAAAATATATATTTAGTAGTGACCCATGGGAGAAGGCATTTAGAAGAAAAACAGAAATTATTATTTTACACACACAACAGACAAACGACAAACGGGAGAGTTGTCCGTGCCTATTCGTCATGGTCCACTGACCAATTTGCCAATTTGAGATTCCATATGGTTTTGAAAATCTTTAATTTTAGATGCTGCTTATAAGGATCGGCTTGCGTGGCGATGTAGATAAGGACTACACACACTCAAGAAATAAAAATTACCGAGAGTCCTTTCCAGGTCTCCCCAATCCACCCCGTTTCTCAAATGGTGCAACCGCAAACCTACTGTATATCTTTAACTTTATTTTTGGACCAATTTATACTAAACTTTCGCTAGTCCGTGTCTCTTATTTTTTTTCGCTTACACATACATGAAATAATTACAAATGCTGGACTGCCCTCTACAGGCACGTAGCCAGAGTTTGATTTTTTTTTTTTTTTTTTTTTTTTTTTTTGGGGGGGGGGGGGGGGGGCACATACATGTAATCGATCGACGTCATAAAAAGTTCAACCGATTCTGGACATTTTTTTTTTGGGGGGGGGGGGAACACGTGCCTTGCCCTCTACGTTCCACCTACCTGTCAGGATCAAACTTGAGGGGATCGGGCCAGTAGATCGGATCACGTTGAATGGTGTAGGTTGGTATCCAGATCTGCAGACCCTTCTCAATCTTATAACCCTTGTAAGTACAAGTCTCCCCGCATTCTCGATCAGTTCTGCGGTGTGAAGAAAAACGGGAGGCAAAGAAAGACCGTATTAACAAACAGAGAGAGCAAGAAGGTCAAAGAGAAGAAAGAGATTGTAAGATTGTTTACTTTCTGAGTCGGAAAAGGAAATAACACAGGTTTGGTCTCAAATATGATCAAATGCACTGCAAATATTAGCCAAAATTAAAGTTTATAGGTAGTTTGTCCTATTTGTAAGCCGACAAAATGAAAAGTTAAATTCCAATGGCGTTTGAAAGATAAAACTAATTTAATGTTCTCTAAAAACAGAAAGGCTCGAAAATGTCTTTTTTGTGGGGAAAATAACGACCGTTAATTGTATAGATTTGTTTATATATATTTTTTTTTTAATCCTTTTCCTTTTTTATCATATATCTTCTTTCATTTTATCATTACGCTTTTTTTCTCTCTGAAGTAAATTTTGAAAAATTATTGTGGAAAAGAAAAAAAATATTTTAAAATTTATATGCAAGGACTGTGGTCGAGGAAATTGTAAAAACTTTATGTGCGATTTGTTTAAAATATGAAACTATAATTTTTTTATGTGAAAAATATTCTTCTGTAAATGTGTAACTTCATTTACAAATATGTCTCATATGATCTAATGACTTACACAACCGCGGGTGGATATATCCTGAGCCAGGCGCGTACGCAGGGGGGGGGGTGTTTGGGGGGTTAAACCCCCCCCCCCTTTTGTATTTTTATGTGTGTAAACCCCCCTAAAATATATATATATTTTTTATTTATTTTAAAAAAAAAAAAAAAAAAAAAAAATTACCCCCATGGCTGACCTAAGAAAGGTGACCTTACCCCCCCCCCCCCCCCCCAACGGAGCAAAATGTCAAATTTTCAAATTTCGAGACCAAAAAAAAAAAAGTGTCCTCTTACCCTCTTATCAGTTTTCCCAATTGTTATCGTTTTCACTCAAACTTTCAGATTATCTTTAATTGTACATCTAGCATTGAACTTAGTACATTAGCACCATTTTCTCTCATCTTTACAATGTTACCAAGTCCCTTTAACGAATTCAATGACTATTCAAAGCACATGTACTACTACTACTACTAATAATAATAATAATAATATCAACAAGATGATGATAATGTAGATGAAGGAAAAGAAGATTGAACAAGAAGAAGGAGAAGACTAAAGAAGCAGAAGAAGAAGGAGAAGAAGCAGAAAAGGAAAAAAAAAGACGACGAAGAAGCTGGGGGAAAAAAGAAGGAGGAGGGGTAGAAGACGACGAAAAAGTTAACATAGAAGAAGACGAAGAAATAGACAAAGAAGAAGAAGCTTTTCTTACCTGAGCAAGTAGTTCCTCCCTTGTCAAGTATTTTTGAGTTTTGGTCGAAATGTTCTCATCAGCTCCTGCGTCTTTGAAGTATTTGTTATGGATGTCGTCTTCGTCGTTTTCACTCGCCATTTTGCTCTTACCATTCTTGGCATCAATCAGGAGCTGTAGAAAGTCCACTCTCTGTGTGACCAAGACAAATGAGAAACAAACTTGTTTAAACTATTGAAATAAGAGTAATATCTGTAGATGCATTCTTAATGTGGTTAGTCTGTAACCGGGGTGCGAAAAAAAATCTCACAACTTAATCTTTGCTCCCTGATTCAAACTGGGCGCCGGGGCCATTAGAAGCCAATTCTCATTTTCTGTGCCCCATAACGCATACGAAGCGGTATTATGATTACAATAGCAGAAATAATATTGTCATAACAAAATCTGACGTACCTGTCTGGAAGGATGACTTTCTCTCAGAGCGACTGCCTTCTCTGTGACGTCAGTGAAGAAATGAATGACGTCTTTCGGGAAGAGTGAGAAATTGAAGAACTTGACGACAGGCCTCAGGAAAGGCATGAAAGCTTGAAGGTCAATACAAAGTCATATTTGGAAACATTTTTGTCAAACGATTACATTTCAGTTTAAGTTTTAGTTTTTTTTTTCCATTTCCAACAGAACTGTGAATTTGACAGAAATCCGGTATACAATAATATAATACATATATTAGTCCTGTATGGTTTAAAGTTATAAAATAGAAAGTATACACAAAATATATCCAGTATAATAGTTCTTTTTCATTTGTTAGGTTAAACCTGTGGAAATGGAGGGATTCACTGAAGTAAAATATGGATCCCTCAAACTAATGACAATCATTATAAATATATTGACTTGAACAAAAATATTTATGTATACATAGATTACCAAAAAGTGGCAGAATAATAATACAATGATAAATCCGTAATTTGAAAACTTGTTACAACACATTCAAGCCTGGAGTAGAAGTAGTAGTAGAAGTAGTAAAGGTAGTTTTATATCATTGGGAGAGAGAAGGACATTATAAATCAACTCATTCGTTTTAGACATAGTTATTGCCCTTCTGGCTCCAAATTTTTGTCTGATGACTCTAAAATTACAAAAATTATCATCATACTGTATTTACTTTTTGTTCAAGTTAAGCTTCCGTACACATATAATGCTATATAATCTTAATCTAATAAAAAGGACGCGGTAAAATACGATCCTCTAAACGAATGGCAAATGGTGTGAGAACAACCACTTTCTGAGCGAATCAAAGGCCGCTATTGCGTATTAAAATTGCTAACAAATAAAGGTATAAAATGGCCTTACAGCATTCTTATTTTGGGCCAATTCACAAAAAGTACCCTTCTCAAAATACGCAAGCGAACTAAACGTTTGTGAACACGTTTGCACACTCAAACAATGTGTCTCCCCCCCCCCCTTCCGTTCACTCTCATAAATCATGCGTTCACACAATTTATACGAAGCGATACCACATTCAGACATGACGCGTACCGCTGCAGTGTTTTTAGGATGATGTAAAGTTCGACACGCTTCAATGAATACGCGCAAATCCTTTGTTGCGCGCACTCGCCATTAATTTACACGGGTTACCGCGTCAAGAAGAGGGGTTAATACTTACACACAGCCATGAAAACCGGAGAGTTAAAAATAAATTCGAAGAATCTCTTGCCGTTTTTAATGAAGAGGTGATCTTTGTCTTTCTGCGAGTTGACCTTCAGACCGAACCCACAGCTTGCCACAGAGTCCATTACAAAGCTTCCAAACAATCTGAGGTAGAAGAGGAAGAGGAGTAACAGGGTATAGAGGGGTGAACATTGTGACAATAATAAGAGGAGAGAGGGAAGAGAAAAGGGAAATAGAGAGAGGAGCGAAGAAGAGGGAGAGAGAGAAAAAGAAAGAGAGATAGAGAGAGAGAGAAGGGAGAGAAGAGGGAGGGGAGGAATAAAGAGAGGGAGGGGGAGGAAAAACAGCGAAAAAGGAAAGATAAATAAATAATAGGGAAGGGAAAAAATAAATAAGCAGACACACACTCACACACACACAAAAGTTGGACATACGATTTGCAATGCGTCTTTCACCTAGCAAAATGTCGAGTACATCTCATCATCTATGGTTTCATACATTATTAAACATATTGAAGTTTATATACCTCTCTTTAGTATGTTGAATAAATCTAGTCATCTGATTGGTCAAAATAGGAGTCGTGATTTTAGCCATGCCCGCAAAGAAACGAACTATGCCCGTTGCCCCGGGTAACGGGAAATAGTTAATGACAAAGATGCCCGTTGCCCCAGGTAACGGGCCGCATAGTTAATTTTTGCCGAGATCCACATTGGTTTGCGTGTAACAAGTTTCTTTGTGCGAGCGCAGATACCAAACAGTGTGTGTGTGCGATTCCCGAACGAGCGTAACATTCAGGCAATCTTACAGCGAAAATTTACAGACAGTGTTTTAGATTTGCTGTCACGTTTTAACAAATATTTACTCAAGAAAAGGATAAGGCAAGAATTCTTTGTAGATTTTTGTGTAAATTCGGTATATAAAATATATGTGGAATGCTTTAAAGCTTATCTGCCGTAGTTTACAAGAGAGAGATTAGAGTGCCCTGCAAGGTTACTGGACAGGTGGTTATCTCATCAACTCAGCTCTCAGTTAACATAAGAAAAAGTGGATTATGGGGGACCAATGGTCACCGATTAGGCATTGTTTGTTATATAGAGGGCGCAAGTAGCTACAAGTAGTGCAGTGGGTCTTTAAAATTCGAGGCATAGCTGTTTCTATACTGGCTCTCGGGGATGTTACACCCTGCTATGACTCCTGAGCCTATATAGTATACAAATATACAATGACACTCGAGGATCTAGCTGAAACTATTCGCATCGAAGGAACATCAACTAGTATTATATATCTCACTTAAGAAATCCAGCCATCTGATTGGTCGAAATTGCATTCATAAACTTTAACTATTTCTGTAAAATTCCCAGTAACCATGGTTAACACAGTTCTAAAATCCCAGTAATCATAGTTACCGGGAAAATAGTTGAGTCTCCATGGTTACCCCATAGGTTTAAATGTTAAAAAATGTTTTGAGCGATCGAGGATACCGTACGTGTGCGAAGAATTGGTCGGTATTTTCATACAAGACAAGACAATTCCAAACAAGACAAAAATGGCTAAAGAAACTGTCCCAGGATTTCAACTTATCAAATGCAAGACTCGCTGACAGCAAGAACAACAAAATAGGTACGTGAAATTATCCATAAATATGTTCGTTTAGTTGCTGAAAAATGGAGTACCAGCATAGACGTAGACGAAAATAGATCTAGTTGTCAGGGTGTCTGATCGCGCACCCGATGTTGTGTGCTATATTCTTCCCATAGAGATTACACGCAATGCAGTCTCTATGCAGTCTACGTGCATTGCGTCAAGTTTTTTTTTCAATTTGAGATTCAAACCTTTATCTGTTGTGATGCTGAAGGTGATACTCAATAAGTGAGGTGTGATATGAAAGCGCAGGTTCTTCTCTCTATTCCCCACAGGGCCGGCCCAACCCCAAAATTGTAAAAATATCTTGCTTAGACTAGAATCTAGATTTAGTCTACTCTCAAAGATACACTCATAAAAACAACCGTGCAGAGAAACTAGAGAAAGGCCAAAGTGGTGTCATTAGTTGACTCTTTTGTTTTCGGCAAATAAAAGTATTAATGACTGCTTTAATATTCGAGAAATAGTTGTTTTTATACGCTCTCGGGAAGGTTACAATTGGGCTATTGCCCTCGGCACGCCTTGGGGCAATAGCACAATACACCAGTTTACAGTTGTATCAGTGCGCATGCGCAGACAGTTGACCTCGGGTCATTGGCCCCAAAATTGGGGCCAATAACCTCTGACCTCTGGTATTTATGCGTAAATTAAAATTGCGCCCATGCAAATGATGATGTGCGCGCACAACGCAGCGCGCAGGCAGTGATGTCATCATTATTTGCATGGGCGCAATCTTAATTTACGCATAAATACATGACTCCTAGGTCATTAGCTTTGTTTAAAATGGCGCACACAACTGTAAACTGGTGTATTTGAACCTTCCCTTGAGCGTATAAAAACAACTATTTCTCTCAAAGCAGTCATTAATACTATACTATTCTCCCGAGGGCCATCGGCCCGAGGGAGAAAAGTACTAATGATGTTCCTGAGTGCTAATAGTTTTAGCTTGTTCCGAGAATGAGTCATTTTATATTTGTTTTATATCCCTTCCATCTGTATTATTCCTACACTTCTGTAATAACATGAACCTTATACTCACATTCACATCTTACATTCAGATCTAAAAGAAATCAAAGAAAATTGCACGGCTCAAAAACAGGGTTTAGCTGGCGCTGCGTATAGTGTAGTGCAATTATCGCGCGCACAGCGCAAATTGCATGTGCGCATGCTTGAGCGCAGTGAGCTGAGGCATTGAAATCCTGTACGCTCGCTGACGTCACGCATAGTACTTTTTTCCCTAGGGAAAAAAGGTACTATGCGTGACGTCAGCAATAAAAAATGTACTATTCCGATGTAGGCGGCAGGAAACGTCTTTTATAGTAAAACTATTCATTTTCTTGTTGTATACACTCCTAATGCAACAATCTTACGATAAGGGATTTAAAAACAGCTATCCTCTCATTGCAGTCAATATATCTGTAATATGAAACAGTCATTACAAGATTTTAACATGTAAAAGGCGAGAAATGTCTCTTTTCCTGTTTCTCTGTCTCTGTCCGCTCCTTTCTCTTCTATTCTCTTTCTTAATATTTTTTCTCTTTCCTCTTTCCTGCAATCTTCGTAACAGATACTTACTCAAGTGAATCGATGTTCCCATCCTCATCACATGATTGTAGTAGCTTCTCAACCATTGTGTCTGCACCTTCATTGAGGATACCTGACATCTGGTAAAGACAAAGAACGGATACCAATCTAAAACATCAAACTCTGCAGTAAGCCAATAGTATGCAAATGATGACTGCGCTTGCGTTCATCGCACCATCTATCTGCTCTTGAGTCATTATACTAAGGCCGACGGGCAAATTATGATGGCTGCCAAATTTCATGCTTTGAAAGTGAAAAAAAATATACAGTTCCTCCATATTCAGCACCTTTCTGCCGTACGTATATAGATGTTATGATTATATATGAGAGAGCTTAGCGACTGAGCCGTAACAATGTCCATTTGGGAAAAGGTCACAACCTAATCAATGTGAAGTGAATTGAAATTTGTAATACGAAATCCTTCACACCTTAGGGGCACCCCTGATTAAATTAATTAGGAAGATTTTCATTTTTTTGAATTACTCAACTATGAATTCTAGAGCACCCTGGATTTAGTGCAGATTCTGTCTGTTTTTATATATATTTTAATTCTTCAATCATCTATGTCCTCCTTCCTCACATGCATCCCACATACATCACGTGACCCCCAGAAATACAATAGTTGCGAGGGTAAGAATTAAAGGCAAGGACTGTCCCTGTTTAAAGGCCAAGTCCACTCCAAAAAAAAATTGATTTTAATAGATGCAGAAAAATAAGAGAAACAGAGTTATAACAAAATGAGTAAAATTGGATAACTAATAAGGAAGTTATGAATTTTTGAAAAACTATGAAAAACTACGGAACAATGGAAATCTCTACATAAATTGCCAATTTGATTATCAGTTTGTGACGTCATTGCCTCACTATTTATCAATTGCTTTATATATTTTTATCCAATTAATTTCCCTTTTTACCCCCAAAAACTTGATTTCCCCATGCCTTTGCCCAGATTTTATGATTTGTATCATATTGACTGCATGACATTTCACAAAATATTTTATGAACTTTGAGGAATTGATACTATATTTCCGAAAAAAGGTATATTTACAACTATTGAATTTTACATGAATAGTTTATCAAAATTTACATTTTTCATGATTTAACTGAACAAAATTACTCGATATTAATGCATCCACCCCAACAAATATTACTATCTATATAACTTGGATGTTGGTGTGAGGAAATAAGATTCTTAGGGGGGAATAGGAAACTTATATTATCAATATAAAGAAATCAATTACTGCATAGTCAGGCCATGACGTCACTGACTCATGAGTGAGTTGCCAATTTCTCTCGTGATTTTCAAAGTTTTTAATGTCATTACAAATTCATAATTTTTTTATTAGTTATCCGATTTTGCTCAACCTTTTTTTGATTAGTTTGTCTGATTTTTCTGCTTCTATTGAAAGTAAGTTATTTTTAGACTGGACTTGCCCTTAAAGTGTTCTTATTTTCTCAGCTAATTTGGTGCGCGACAAGGAAACAGACCAGGCAGTGGACTACCTGCATTGGAATAGCCCTCAAGTATATTTTGTTTGATATGCTTTGCTTACACTCGAGATTTAGTCAATGACTAAATCTTGAGTGTAAGCAAAGCTTTTCATTGAATACCATTTTCATTTTCTTTCCTGTGAAGGTTGGTGTCGTGATATCACGAACTCTCTTCCACTGTGCGTCTCTCAAGAGGAAGAGGGCGTTGTCGAAATTTCCTGAGCTCATTGGAAACGGCTAGAAAAGAATAAAACATGGTATATGATGAACTCAATTGCATAGTACTAGTAGCATTGATAAAGCAGCCAATTATATATCAATATTATGAGAATGAAAGATATATTTATAATTTACCTCGTATGTATATGAAATTTATTTTTAGGTGGCAGTCACTTAAATTTGTATTTTAATGAATACAAATGAAAGAATCACCTTGTAACCAAGTGAATCAAACATAATGTAATTTCATGATTTGTTTTCTTTGTTATTTCGACCTTATCCTATAAAGTAGCCTGTGGAGGGCTAAATATATTATTCTTTTTAAATATGAAGACAGGAATAGCAACTTTAGATAAAGCTTGACTGCTTTTGTGTCAGCACACTCATTCAAAATCATTTCATTTCAATTCAGTTCATTCAATATTTTACAGGGACAGAATCGAACTGCCGATTGATTCATTATAAACAGAACTGGATTTCTTTTGCATGACCATCAAAATCATCATAACCTCCACCACAAACATTGTCATAATAACCACCCTCATTATCAGGACCATCATCGCCATCAGCAGCACCATCATCATCATCACCCATCATCATCAGCACCATCATCATCATCATCAGCACCACCATCATCTTCATGACCATCACAGCCATCGTCATTTTAATCGCCATCATCATCCCTGGCCAATATTATTACTTACAGTATCATTTATTATTATATTCATTATTAATATAATCATAACTATCATTTTTTGTTATTATTATTGTTATTATTTGTATTATTATTATTATCATTATTATCATTATTACTATTATTATTATTATTGTAATGATTATTACGAGTATCAGTATTAGTATTATTATCATCATCAATGCATTCACTTTTAGTTTCTTTTTTCAAGATTGCATTATCAGTCAATCAAGCACAATTGCTTCATTCACAAGACAAAAATATCAACATTTCTTACAAATTTATTGTAGAATCTATGGTGGTCCTTGACCATGATATCACGTAGCATATCGAGGTCTCTGATCAGGAGCAGGGGTCGCCTCCACATGTAGATACCGACAACTGGACCGTATTTATTTGCGTACTCGTCGATCACGTCGAAAATGGGCTGCTATAAGGTGATAATTAGGATAAAATATGTTCTTATTTAAACTAAAGAAAACAAAAGAGATACGATGGCACTAATTAGCCTTACAACAAATCATAACCATGACCCTAACCCTGCCTAATGAACAAGGTTCTCTATGCATATTGTACAAAGTATAGCTACCTTAGATACATTACATGTTGGCTATTTTTATAAACATACCTCTACGAATGATTATATAATGCCTACCCGATCATCTAGAGAAACATATCTTCATCAGGGTTAAGGGTTATTCATGTCTCATATAGTCAAGACGATGACACAGTAATTGCTAATCCCGCCATGGACATTTAATTTTACCATTTTCTATGCCTCCCTTTCAGCTATTCCCACCCCCCCCCCCCGCCCCGCCCGATAAAAACTATGAAATAATATTCTAATTGAGTTTAATATACTTCATTTGTACTGCTATTGCACTAACACCACGTAACCTGAAAGAACATAATGCTCTGAACTTTAGCTGACACGGTCTGAGACTGACATATCTAGGCTCTACTGAAGGCTTCATGAATTATGGTAAAGTGTCAAATTAAAGTCCGTGCCAGCAGACTAGCTAATGATATCAATCTTCTTATTTTGAAACTGGTTATCTCACCTTGCTAAAGTCCAACGCATTGCCAAAGATGGGTTTGGGAGGGGGTCCTGGAATACCAAGCCTCTTGAAATACGTATGAGTCCAATAATCATAGCTAGAAAAAAAAATAGAGAAAGGAAAATTCGCAGGTTGCTAAAAATATCGTTTGCAGCCTCATGAACATATAATAATATTAATAATACATAAGATTTGTAAGGCGCCAAATCCACTTGACAATAATGCTCAAGGCGCAGCTTGTGCAAAAGATGAAATACATGATAAATAGACAAAGTACAACTACAAGGTAAGGACATGAAAGGTAGAGGTAATAAATATTATAGGCTAAATAAAACATATATTTCTTAAGATTATATTTTAACACTTCACCAGAACTGCTTTTGTTGGTATCCATTGAGGGAGAGTATTCCATGATGACGGCCCAGCATGAGGGAAGGTTCTCCCCCCCCCCCCCACACTTTGTGTTAACCCCAGGAATAACGAGACACGAGTAAGCCAGAGTTTTGAGAATGTAGCTGTCTAGAGGGATTAGGGACTTTTAGATTCGCACGAAGACAATGGGGATTGCTACGATCGACGTCACACGTATCAGTCAACGCAAACCTAAAAGTCCCTATTAGTAGGAGACCAGCCTGTAGGTCCCGTGACCAATCTCTGGGAACAAAGGTTTGAAAGTGTTTTTGTGTTCCCTGATGAATACCGAACAATTTTGACTTGGGCTGCCCCCTTGAAAATCCCGGGCATTTTCGTGAGGGGTCAACAAAGGTCACACAGGGATAAAAATTAAAATAGTTCCAATCGTGTCATTATGCATATCAAATTACTCGTCTGGTCATAAGGATTCCAAAAATATATAGTTTGATGTACCTCCGACCTTAAATGAGGGCGCTATGGTCAAAAAGGTCAATGCACTTTAGAAATTCACCAACACAGTTAACATTGTCCGATTCTAATGATTTTAGGGTCTAATAATATGTTTTCTGACATGGCAAATTCAACTATACAACTTTCAAAAGTAAAAGTGTTTACCTTGACCATGACAAACATGACAAACATCTAACAACTTCTTATCCATGGGTTTGGGGGAAATTTCAAGGTTATGGCAACTACTTTTGATTTTAAAAGTTGCTTAGTTAAATTTGTTATGTCAAAAAACATATTATTAGACACTAAAATCATTAGAATCGGACGATGTTAACTGTGTTGGTGAATTTCTAAAGTGCATTGACTTTTTCGACCATAGCGCCCTCATTTAAGGTCGAAGGTATAAAAACCTATACATTTTTGGAATTCTTATGACGAGACGAGTAATTTGATATGTGATTTAATAAGGTTTACTGTGTTGGTGAATTTGACCACCAGTCAAAAGTGTGTTGTCCTTTCAACGTTTTTGACCATAGCGCCCTCATTTAAGGTCGGAGGTATAGCAAACTATACATTTTTGGAATCCTCCTGACCAGACGAGTAATTTGATATGCATATTGACACGATTGGAACTATTTTAGTTTTTATCCCTGTGTGACCTTTGTTGACCCCTCACGAAAATGCCCGGGATTTTCAAGGGGGCAGCCCAAGTAAAAATTGTTCAGTATTCATCAGGGAACAAAAAAACACTTTCAAACCTTTGTTCCCAGAGATTGGTCACGGGACCTACAGGCTGATCTCCTACTATATTGTAATGTTTGATGATATGACGCCGTAAACCGCGGTGGTTTTTTTCACGTGTAAAATGAATGGCAGTTGCACGCAACAAAGGTCCAGCGAGTATACTTAGTTCCAGCGCTCAAAATACACGGGGGCGGTGGGCGATTCGCCCCCGTAAGCTACAAAATCGCCCCCGTCAGGTTGCTCACAGGGGCGATTGCAATATTAAAAATCGCCCCGGTGGAATTATAAAATAAAGATAATCTTTTTTGTTATAACTTTAACACAATATTGAGTTTCAATTTTCAAACCTTAAACCAATGAAATGGAACTAAGATTAGTGTGCATGATTTCTCGTTTTATGAGTAGGCCTATTATTACCGATTCAGCTCGCAGTGCAGTGCCGCCGTCAGCAGTGGTTATAGGCCTACTGCGCCGTGAGTAGCGGTGCGTGTGCACGCTGCCGCGCCATGTCTGCTGGAGCTGGAGGCGATCGGGCAAGGGCAGAAACATGGTCATGGCCTGGAGAAGTTTTTCGTTGTCAGCAAATAATGAACCTCGACCAGTAAATCAATATCAGGGACTTTTAGATTTGCACGATGAGAACGTGGACTGCAACGTGTGACCTCCTTTTAAGGCACTGCCAGTGCTTAAAAGGATGTCACATGTGATTGCCAGCTAGTGCCTTAAAAGGACGTAACACGTCCACGTCCACGTCCACGTCCACGCAAATATAAAAGTCCCTTTTGTGGAGAAGAGGAAGACCAAAATGTCGTGAAATCAGGGGCGGCGATTTCTGTTAATGACCGGGGGGGGACGAAATGCGATTTTTTTTTACGAGGATGTTATGCGAGGGAGCGTAGCGACCGAGCGAGATTTTCTTTGCAATTTTATTAGTCTAAACGCTGCACTCTTGGGCCTTCCAGAGCCTAAAAGTGTGTTGCAGTCATTATTCAGTATATGCTATACAATTTGTTTTGCACTTTTTCATATTTCCAGGGGGGACGATCCCCCCTAAAAAATTGAGGGGGGGGGGACGTGTCCCCCCCCCCCCCGTCCCCCCGGGATCGCCGTCCCTGCGTGGAATGATAAGGTTACATGGGCAGATCTACGGCGGGGGGGGGGGGTAGGGGTTTAACCCCCTCCTCCCACCCCCCCCCCCCCCCGGCCCCCTTGGGCTGCCAAGTGAAAATGTGATATTAAAGCGGGGGGGGGGAGGGGGATTCTGGAGAGGAGGACTACTAATCTATTTTATTTTTTTCAGAAGGCGGGGGGAAGTGAAGCGCCGTTTTAGCATGACTTTTCTTTAACTCTTACTTTCACCTATCTCAGATAACCCTAAGTTTTTGGTTGCTGCTTTATATGTAGTTGATAATGCATGATTAAAATAAAGAGAGAGAGAGAGAGAGAGAGAACCACCATCATTTTGCAATGGTTCAGGGTTCGTTTAATGTACATTTGAAACCATTTCTTAGCGTCTCAACCCTAAAAAAATAGCAAAACTATTTTTGAGGAAAAGCATTATACTGAATTAAATAAAGAATAAAAGCTTTATATTGGATCATACTAATACTGATACGGGCTAAAGACAATGTGGTATTTGTATAGAGGTATTCCAAAATGACATTCTGATAATCAACATTTGTTCTGGTATCATATGTATATACGCATAATACAACTGATCTTTATGATTTCTTAACGTGACATAGCTTCTTCTCCCTCTGCAAACAAAACAGAAAACAAGGTTATTTAATAAAAGGACCATGCGAAAAATAATCATTGTGATTCAAATTGATGCAAGGATTTTTTTTGAATAAGCAATGCTTTTCACCAGAATCTTCTATGTAAAAACGACTTTTACAAATCTCAGCCATGCAATTCTGCCACTGTGCTGTAAGATCACTTTGAGATTAGGAGAAGTGTATTATGTAATGGGTATTTTAAATTGAATGGAACGTCTCAACTCAGTAAGCATGGCTGAGATTTGTAAAAGTTGTTTTTACAAAGAAGATTCGGGTGAATAGCAGTGCTCATTCAAACAAATATTCTCATCAATTTGAATCACAATCATTATTTGTCGCTTAATCCCTTTTAATGACCATGTTTTCTTTTTCGTTTGCAAGGGGAGAAGAAGATATGTCACGTTAAAGACATCATAAAGATCAGTGTTGTATGCGTATATATTATATACACAGGCCAGTAACAGCTATGTAGCTTGTAAATTTGTAAGAGGGAAAATGCTGATTGAAATGATAATGATGAAATAGCAAATAATTGAGGAGTATCATAGGTACCAATTCAATGGATATTGGTATAAAAAAGAGCCCCCGTCAGTAATAAAAGCCCCCGTGAAAAGGCTCACGGGGGCTCTTTTTTCGGGGGAAGAGCCCCCGTGGACAAAAAATTAATTTGAGCCCTGCTTAGCTCTGTGTTATAAGATACAGAACTGTGACGCGTATTGCACTTTTAATAGTGCTTTACGTCAGCATTTTAAAAAAAGGTTCAGTTTTTCCGCGTCATATCTGGACGAGACCTGTCTTCTTTCAGTTGCGTCTCGATCGTTTATTTACCTTCATTTCATCCAGTTAATACAAACAATAGAGAGCACTCAACTTTGTGAGAAACAAACGAAATATTCAAACACAATCGAAAACTGAATAACAGGGCTATCTGTTTTGGCAACAGATGATATTAATATTATGTTTGGCTTATGTTAAGGCTACTTGTTAATTTTCTGAAGGTTCGTTTAAATATTTATTTATCCTTATTAGGTTCGGAAGATTGTTACCCTTGAGGCTCGCAATCCCCAAAATGACATAGGGTGGAAATAGAACGCTATATCATTAACGGAATAATACTCCCCCCCCCCCCCCCCGGTTCCGGAACTTTTTGTTCCGTAATTATAAACTTTCAAAAAAGTGACTGCCCCCGCGCATTTGCCCTACATTAAGAAGGCCCTTTTCTTTAACTCTTACTTTCACCTATCTCAGATAACCCTAAGTTTTTGGTTGCTGCTTTATATGTAGTTGATAATGCATGATTAAAATAAAGAGAGAGAGAGAGAGAGAGAGAGAGAACCACCATCATTTTGCAATGGTTCAGGGTTCGTTTAATGTACATTTGAAACCATTTCTTAGCGTCTCAACCCTAAAAAAATAGCAAAACTATTTTTGAGGAAAAGCATTATACTGAATTAAATAAAGAATAAAAGCTTTATATTGGATCATACTAATACTGATACGGGCTAAAGACAATGTGGTATTTGTATAGAGGTATTCCAAAATGACATTCTGATAATCAACATTTGTTCTGGTATCATATGTATATACGCATAATACAACTGATCTTTATGATTTCTTAACGTGACATAGCTTCTTCTCCCTCTGCAAACAAAACAGAAAACAAGGTTATTTAATAAAAGGACCATGCGAAAAATAATCATTGTGATTCAAATTGATGCAAGGATTTTTTTTGAATAAGCAATGCTTTTCACCAGAATCTTCTATGTAAAAACGACTTTTACAAATCTCAGCCATGCAATTCTGCCACTGTGCTGTAAGATCACTTTGAGATTAGGAGAAGTGTATTATGTAATGGGTATTTTAAATTGAATGGAACGTCTCAACTCAGTAAGCATGGCTGAGATTTGTAAAAGTTGTTTTTACAAAGAAGATTCGGGTGAATAGCAGTGCTCATTCAAACAAATATTCGCATCAATTTGAATCACAATCATTATTTGTCGCTTAATCCCTTTTAATGACCATGTTTTCTTTTTCGTTTGCAAGGGGAGAAGAAGATATGTCACGTTAAAGACATCATAAAGATCAGTGTTGTATGCGTATATATTATATACACAGGCCAGTAACAGCTATGTAGCTTGTAAATTTGTAAGAGGGAAAATGCTGATTGAAATGATAATGATGAAATAGCAAATAATTGAGGAGTATCATAGGTACCAATTCAATGGATATTGGTATAAAAAAGAGCCCCCGTCAGTAATAAAAGAGCCCCCGTGAAAAGGCTCACGGGGGCTCTTTTTTCGGGGGAAGAGCCCCCGTGGACAAAAAATTAATTTGAGCCCTGCTTAGCTCTGTGTTATAAGATACAGAACTGTGACGCGTATTGCACTTTTAATAGTGCTTTACGTCAGCATTTTAAAAACAGGTTCAGTTTTTCCGCGTCATATCTGGACGAGACCTGTCTTCTTTCAGTTGCGTCTCGATCGTTTATTTACCTTCATTTCATCCAGTTAATACAAACAATAGAGAGCACTCAACTTTGTGAGAAACAAACGAAATATTCAAACACAATCGAAAACTGAATAACAGGGCTATCTGTTTTGGCAACAGATGATATTAATATTATGTTTGGCTTATGTTAAGGCTACTTGTTAATTTTCTGAAGGTTCGTTTAAATATTTATTTATCCTTATTAGGTTCGGAAGATTGTTACCCTTGAGGCTCGCAATCCCCAAAATGACATAGGGTGGAAATAGAACGCTATATCATTAACGGAATAATACTCCCCCCCCCCCCCCCGGTTCCGGAACTTTTTGTTCCGTAATTATAAACTTTCAAAAAAGTGACTGCCCCCGCGCATTTGCCCTACATTAAGAAGGCCCTTTTCTTTAACTCTTACTTTCACCTATCTCAGATAACCCTAAGTTTTTGGTTGCTGCTTTATATGTAGTTGATAATGCATGATTAAAATAAAGAGAGAGAGAGAGAGAGAGAGAGAACCACCATCATTTTGCAATGGTTCAGGGTTCGTTTAATGTACATTTGAAACCATTTCTTAGCGTCTCAACCCTAAAAAAATAGCAAAACTATTTTTGAGGAAAAGCATTATACTGAATTAAATAAAGAATAAAAGCTTTATATTGGATCATACTAATACTGATACGGGCTAAAGACAATGTGGTATTTGTATAGAGGTATTCCAAAATGACATTCTGATAATCAACATTTGTTCTGGTATCATATGTATATACGCATAATACAACTGATCTTTATGATTTCTTAACGTGACATAGCTTCTTCTCCCTCTGCAAACAAAACAGAAAACAAGGTTATTTAATAAAAGGACCATGCGAAAAATAATCATTGTGATTCAAATTGATGCAAGGATTTTTTTTGAATAAGCAATGCTTTTCACCAGAATCTTCTATGTAAAAACGACTTTTACAAATCTCAGCCATGCAATTCTGCCACTGTGCTGTAAGATCACTTTGAGATTAGGAGAAGTGTATTATGTAATGGGTATTTTAAATTGAATGGAACGTCTCAACTCAGTAAGCATGGCTGAGATTTGTAAAAGTTGTTTTTACAAAGAAGATTCGGGTGAATAGCAGTGCTCATTCAAACAAATATTCGCATCAATTTGAATCACAATCATTATTTGTCGCTTAATCCCTTTTAATGACCATGTTTTCTTTTTCGTTTGCAAGGGGAGAAGAAGATATGTCACGTTAAAGACATCATAAAGATCAGTGTTGTATGCGTATATATTATATACACAGGCCAGTAACAGCTATGTAGCTTGTAAATTTGTAAGAGGGAAAATGCTGATTGAAATGATAATGATGAAATAGCAAATAATTGAGGAGTATCATAGGTACCAATTCAATGGATATTGGTATAAAAAAGAGCCCCCGTCAGTAATAAAAGAGCCCCCGTGAAAAGGCTCACGGGGGCTCTTTTTTCGGGGGAAGAGCCCCCGTGGACAAAAAATTAATTTGAGCCCTGCTTAGCTCTGTGTTATAAGATACAGAACTGTGACGCGTATTGCACTTTTAATAGTGCTTTACGTCAGCATTTTAAAAACAGGTTCAGTTTTTCCGCGTCATATCTGGACGAGACCTGTCTTCTTTCAGTTGCGTCTCGATCGTTTATTTACCTTCATTTCATCCAGTTAATACAAACAATAGAGAGCACTCAACTTTGTGAGAAACAAACGAAATATTCAAACACAATCGAAAACTGAATAACAGGGCTATCTGTTTTGGCAACAGATGATATTAATATTATGTTTGGCTTATGTTAAGGCTACTTGTTAATTTTCTGAAGGTTCGTTTAAATATTTATTTATCCTTATTAGGTTCGGAAGATTGTTACCCTTGAGGCTCGCAATCCCCAAAATGACATAGGGTGGAAATAGAACGCTATATCATTAACGGAATAATACTCCCCCCCCCCCCCGGTTCCGGAACTTTTTGTTCCGTAATTATAAACTTTCAAAAAAGTGACTGCCCCCGCGCATTTGCCCTACATTAAGAAGGCCCTATTCTATCTTCAATTTTTATCAGACAGATAATATTAATAATAATGATAATGAACATAATACAAATAAGTATAATAATAACGGTTTCTTTATCGCGCTTTACCGTTAACTGACTTCAGCGCCTACAGAATTATCATTAGTCCGGTCACTGGATTCGTTTGTTATTCTACACATAATAGTACACATTCTCCTCTCTCTTGGGAGCGTTCCAGCTAATTGCCTTCTTACATGCAAGCACATGTTAATCCAGACACAATGACATGCTATAGGTTACCGATTAACACCATGGTGGAGAGGAGCATAAACTCCTTTGCTCAAGGACATACATGTATATACATTATATGCCTAATATATTATATACCTAATATATTACAATGTATATGCCTAATCTTGAAGAAATGGGACATTTCTGTCATTTCTCACAGAACATTATTGATCACTTTATTCTGCTGGAAAGGTTTGAGTTTCCGCTCATAGTTCCAACAGTTAGCAAAGGTCGACTATTGCAGGTCATCATTCACACTGGAGATGTTTATTCTTAAGCCAGACAAATATGAAAAGCAAATACATGTACTTATACGACATATAAGACTGTTAGCTCCGGCCATCGTGACTTTGTTGCCAAGGAGATCCTTCCTAACTCGAATGATCCATTCCCCTATTTATCTAAAGGAGACAGTGCCCCGCACACCGTCCCCACATGTACCCATGGCCAGTGCCTGCTCCCCCCCCCCCCCCAACTCTCCACCCCGGCCCCTTCTCCCTAGGTCACTCTACGCGCTACTAAACAACATATTAATTTGAACAACTAAGGATCTCCTTTGCCTAAGGATAATTAATACTAAGTTTGGTTAAAATCCGACTATGCGTTTCGAGTAGAAGTTGAAAATATTAAAAGTGCTCCTGAGGCAGTTTGGGGCGCCGCCACCAGGCCCCCTTGAGGTTCGCACCCCCATTACACTTTCCTATCTAGTTTGATTACACTCGGGCCATGCGTTTTGAGAATAATTCGAAAATGTAAAAAGTGCCTCGGAGAAACTACGGGGGCGCTGCCACAGGCCCCCCTTAGGATACGTACCCCATTGAAGAAATTCAGAACTCTCTTACCTAAGGATGATTCCTACCAAGTTTGGTTAATAACGTTTTGAGTAGCTAAATTTATTTTCGTTCATAATATCTTAATTACTGTTCCTTGTTTAATTGCTATGATGTGTATAGTTATTTTCTGTTGTATAGCGCTCTGATCAGTTCGTCTGTAGTAGCGCTCAATAAGAATCAATTATTATTATTATTATTATTAAAACCCGAAGTCATGCGTTTTCGAGAAGAGTATTATGTCGAAAAAGATAAAAAAAATAAAAAAATAATAATAAAAAATAAAAAAAAGTTTATACAGACGACGTACGACGGACCAATTAAAGCGATCGCAATATAATAAATAGCTCGTCACTCGAGCATTTTGCGCAGGTGAGCATAAAAATATATATATATATATATACCATAATGTGATATACTTACATGAAGAAAATAACGACCACGGCTACCATGAGATACACGGTGGTCATCAAGAAAAGACCGCTTATCGTTCCGAGAACGGCCATGATGTTGCGTCCGACGTTAGTTCGGTATTCGAGTATGATTTCTTCACTAAACACTGCTAGATTAACGAACTTCGATCGAACCTCTCTCTGACTATATCTTGTAAGATATGAATTCAACACTCGCACGTAAAATATGTTCGCGTTTTCCTAGGGGCTATAATACGTTGCAACCGTTGTGTGTTATGCCGCAGAGCGCGCGGGGGGGGGGGTGTGCTACATACCTGGTGACTCACTGTTAGTAGGTCATGGGCTAGATCGATGCTGTACAAACTGTTTAGAAGGTGTGATAAATATATGATGATTTAAAGGACTTTGTTAAAACCAGGGAGGTCCTTGGTCCAATTCAAAAGGGAGTGCGTCAGTAAATATATGAAAATCTTTTAGGCTTCATCTGTGTGGTCAAAATTGAGCTCATAAATACTTCCCATTTAACTCAATTAATTCGGATAAACCCCTACAATACACAGTTTCTGTGTTCGTCACTATGTAGAATTCAAAAGAATATTTAAAAAAATTACAAACCATTTTCTTCTGTCATTTATTCCCATTAAGATTAAGTTGAAACCCGTTTCCGTTTGAACTGTTCTGAACGGCTGGAAGCCAGGTGTGATTTATTTGTTTCCAGTTTGAGAACTATAGATAATAAGCAACAGTTTCTGATCAGAAATCCATTATGATTGGCGACGTTGGAATTCATTTGGAAAACAGTTATAAACCAGTTAACCAACATATGTAAGTTCTATATCATTTACTGATATCTTGAATAATAATGTAAAGAGAATACAATAGGAGGTTGGGGTTGCATGGAGCTTATTTATTCAATACTCAGTTATAAACGAATTCCTAACTTTTCATATCATAATGCTGAATCTTTATGGGTGAAAGTTTGAATTTAAAATGTAAACATTAAAGTTGGTGTAATATATTTTAAAACGGATAGTTATTTTGAAGAATATAGGTGTGACTTAAATAGCATATTGCAAAATATGAATCTCGGGGTCGAAACCGGCCACTGTGTGATTTTGGGGAATTTTTATATCAATTTTTTAGCTCGAAATAATAAAAGTTGTGACTTCATACATAATATGACAGATTTTTAAAGTCTACTTCAACTCATTACAAAAACCCAATAATAAACTTCCAGCACTAGCTCAACTCTTATTCATTTTCATATTCATTATCATATTCAGACAGGATGTATTGAGATTGAGATTTCTTTCCGTTTTCCAGTATAGGATATTTTTTAGGAATGTCACATTTAGAACACCAACAAAGAGAACAGCAACACGCAGAAACTTTGGATTTTTTTCACTGCATTTATTACTTGTACGATCTATGTATGTTTCCGAATGCACATAATGCAAGTGGAGCTTACAATAATTTGAAAGACAGGTTTATATGTATGTGATAAACATGCACTCAGTATGACTCAATATGTTAAAACCAAAGAATAGAAATAAGCATTGAATTACACCAGGTAATAAACGATCAATAGCGACAGAGCACAGGCTTCATTGTCAAGTGATCCAATTAAAGTATAATAAAATTATTTGGTCAAATATATACAGGATGAAACCAATTAACTAAATAACGGAAGATTAACACCCGTTACAACAAAAAGTGAATTTCTCCTTTACTATAAATATTAATAAAATCAAGCAGTGACTTTCTCCTTTATATAAAAACATTTGTCAGGAGTTTGACTTTCTTCTTTTAAAGGAGAAAGTAACTCCTCACTAATGTTTATCTTAAAGGAAAAAGTCACTCCTGACAAATGTTTATCTTAAAAGAGAAAGTCACTCCTCACATTTGTTTATCTTAAAGGAGAAAGTCACTCCTAGTTTTAATAAATGTTTATCTTAAAGGAGAAAGTCACTCCTGACAAATGTCGATCTTAAAGGAGAAAGTCACTCCTTGTTTTAAGAAATATTTGTGAGGAGTTACTTTCTCCTTTAAGATAAACATTAGTGAGGAGTTACTTTCTCCTTTAAGATAAACATTTGTCAAGATGACTTCCTCCTTTAAGAAAAACATTTGTTAAAACTAGGAGTGAGTTTCTCCTTGCAGATAAACTTTTGTTACAGCAAGTAGTGACCTTCTCCTTTAAGATAAACATTTGTTAAAACTAGGAGTGAGTTTCTCCTTGCAGATAAACTTTTGTTAAAACAAGTAGTGACCTTCTCCTTTAAGATAAACATTTGTTAAAACTAAGAGTAAGTTTCTCCTTGCAGATAAACTTTTGTTAAAACAAGTAGTGACCTTCTCCTTTAAGATAAACATTTGTTAAAACTAGGAGTGAATTTCTCCTTACAGATAAACATTTGTTAAAACAAGGAATGACTTTCCCCTGGAAAATGAAATTCGTTAAAAAACAAGGAGTCACTTTCTCTTTTAAAATAAACATTTGGCAAAACAAGGTGTGACTTTCTTTTTCAATATACCTGTCAAGATCTTCTAAAGGTTAACATGTTTATATGTAAACAATTTAAAAGGATGACTCTGACTTTCCTTTTTAGTGAGAGACCATTTTCAAATAGAAATGGTTAGTTATTCCTTTCTACTGATTGTCTAAAACATACAAACAACAAAGTAACAAATATTAATTGACTCATTTCTGTCATATTGTTTCATTAACAATAAAATGTTTTGGGCAGTTTAATTTGATTTAAATGGTATAACCATTCACAATGAATGACTTAAAAAAAAATTATCAAGTAATATGGTGTCACCGATCGCTAGATAAGAGCATCCCTCCTGATGAAAGAAAGTTGTGACATTGTTACAAGGATTAATTAATTTCGTTTTTCCGAGGACTGGTTTCAGTTTAAAGGTTAATTCCAAAAAATTATACTACGACGGCTTGTTATTCAAAAGTTTCGTAATTCCAAAAACGACAATGGGGTTCAATGTCAAAGATGAAATAATGTTAATTTTCGGAATCATGAACCTCGTGGTATGGGAAATTTCCGATTGGGAATTATGAATCTTCGGCAAAAACGAATGCCTCACCCCTTACAAGATTGGTATGTACCTTGTATAACCTGAACAGTCTACGTCTCTGGTAGAGTCCATGAAGAAAATTCAAAACAATTTAACAAAAAATGCTAGTTCTTACATATTGAACAGAAACCAAAATGTGAACAAAAAAATCACCCCTAAGTGTATTATACAATGGATGATCATACAATAGTGTATGATTAGATTATTTGTATCATATCCTCAAACGATTTGCAACATTGCATTCTGAATAACAAGTATAGTATTTCATTTGTATTTTTTATATTTATTGGCGTTTTTTTTTACAGGGTAGCATTGTCAGTGACAAAACTGCTTTCCACAACGACCGGATGGCCTAGATCAAGTATATACATGTATACACTATGATTAAAGATTAAAATTAAATATACAAATTAATGGCTGAGCTTTTGTATATATATATATAAATAATGATTTGAGACAAACTAAGAATAATCTATCAGTAATGAATGCAAATCCGAAGACTTTCATAGCAAATTGTAATACAAAAAAAATACAACTACAACTATAAGCGATATTGTAGAACTTTGAATCATTTTATAGTTCTTCGGTCATAAAGGCTATCCAGGGAAGAGTTGACCAATATGGCAATGACCTAAATGATTTCTACCCCCCCCCCCCCCCTACATCTCACCCCGTACCATAGTTTATACTGATACAAAGATATAACTGTGGAATAGGCATACACAGACCTGAACACGGTCCTTCTGTGTCTCAGCTTTCAAAATGACTCACTGACGTACCACATGATTAAACGACCCATCCATACATTAACACATGGACCTGGCGCACACCCACCCACTCCCACACACACTCCATCCCAGACAATATATTCAGAGATATGTCATTTATTTACAGCTTCCTGTTGTATAGCTCAGAGACGTGAGAGAAACCAAACCTCCTCAACGAAAATTCGTCTGGCAAAGAAGCTGCCCCACTAATTGAGAAAAAGGAAGTATGAATTAGTTTATTAAATAATCAGCTTTGATTTATTCAATGAACTTTGCGGCTTCTGGGTACACAAACTTTCGTAAATAGGGGCTGCTTTTTTTGGACAAAATATCGTTTAATGCAACAACGTGACCACAATGGGAAGAAGTAAGCCAAAGTAGACGGGAATTCTTCACTGCTGACGGATTAGGTGATCTGCAACACATGTGAAGTTAATGATGTTGGTCCTTTAAAAAAAAACGCAAAGTGGAAAATAAAGATGTTTTTTATGAACATTTTTATGAATTTATAATTTATATTATTGTTTGTTATGCCAGTGGATGTAAATTTTCTATCCTCTCACCTCATACACATCTCTGTATAATGTCAGTCTGATAAGCGATTTGCTGTTTTCCTCCGGAGAAGACATGATGTGTTCAGTTTCGTTGTTTTGTGACACATATGATCTGAGCTCACCCGTTGAATCAATAGCACACGATATTCTGCAGTGAAGGCGAGAATTAGTTTTCGAAGTTTTCTTATTACACAAAATCAATAAAATCTTTGTCATCATCTTCTTACGTACATAAAGGTGCACTTGTAAATGGTGCTTGACTGGAGTACTACCCAGGGAGTGGAGCATGTGCACTATTTTGTGCAGAATAGCAAGTGAATCCAATGACTTTGGTAATAACAATTAGCGCCTAGAAACCTATGCAAAGGCTATTGTTAGTATCAATAATATTATTATCCTTAATGAAAATTATTACAATGATAGTAATACTAATAATAATCATAATAATAATTATTATCATTAATATAGTAATAACAACAACAACAATAATAACAATAGTACATTCTGGGTTTCCTCAAATGTATTGTAATCTGTAACATTACAATGTCGCAGAATGATCTTAAAGGAAACTTCACCTCAACAAATAAGTTTAGGTATGCTGAGAGACGAGTTTCATTCCTGCCTATTGATATTAATAATAATATTAATAATGATAATAATATGTTTTGTTTAACCAGGGTAGTCTCATCAGTATTGAAACTGTTCTCCCTGAGGGCCCTGCAATCACATTATTACCCCGGCTTTAGCCGAGATACTATGAAAGGGCGCTAAAGCATTCAAGGAATGTCTTCCTACCGGGTACCCATTTACCGCACCTGGGTGGAATGTGGCAAATGTAGATTAATGTCTTGCCAAAAGACAG